CCCACGGATTGTGGTTACACCCAGAGCTGAGATGTTCATTTCTTCGGGTTGCAGCTCCTTGTTACAGTAGTTACTTTTCCAGAAACATTGTTCCCTTGGAGCTTCCCTCTGTGATCTTGGCTTTTCCCTTGCCTTTTGGCCAGATTGTGTGAAACCACCTGACGTCTGGTCAGCGGGCTGTCCTCCAGCAAGACCTTCGTCTGTTTTAGTCAGATCATAAGAAAAATTTACTTTAGGTTTCCTTTGTTTAAATGGTCTAAGCTGAAAGCAGTGTGAACTAAACTATTTGTAGCCTTACATCTTAACCTAGTTGAATAGCTGTTGCTGCCAACAGGTAAAAACATTGTTTCACATTTTCTTTTCTTTCTTTCTTTTTTTAATCTGGAAAGGTAATTTAAGAGAAATAACATATATGTACCGTTAAGGGAATGCCTGTCATGTGCTGGGTATTGTCCTATCCCTTCCATATATAAAGTCCTGAATCCTAGTAATTCAGCAAGGCAAGTCTTACTGTCATTTTATAGAGAGAAAGAGTGGGGATCACAGAAAATGAGGAGGCCCAAGCCACACAGCCAGTGTGGAGCTGGGCTGGGCTGGGCTGGGCTGGGCTTTGCACCCAAGTCCGTCTGACTTCAAAGCTGGCGTTTCCTACTCTACCCCTTATGGGCCTGCTGTTTCCAAGCTGTGGCTCTCACCCGTTACTTCTTCTGTAGTCTCTCCAGTAATTTCTCATTCTTAAGGAATCCTGTCTTGTAACCCCTCACCCTAGGGATGTAGGAGTTACTTCGTCGTGGCAAGTGACAGCCTGGTTTGGTGTTAAGAAACAGTAGCAGCAATCCAGGGCGCCAGGGTGGTGGCGGCCACAACCAGCGCCAGGCAGCCGCCCCTCTGGGGCCTCCAGGGGACTGTGGTCCATGCTGTAGACCGATGGGGTGTGGTGGCAGCCTCCAGGGGTAGCGAGAGTCACAGGTATAAACGCAGATGTTGAGAAGGAGCCTGGCTGCCATCTCTTCTGTTTGGAATGGGATGGGGGTTGGGGGGTGGTGGGGATGTGATGGCTTATAAATTTGCCACCAAGCCCAAAGCTTCTACCGCGGGACAGTAGTTCCCCAAATATGGGCAGGCAGATACGTAGGTACAGCAGTGAAAAGGTCCACGCAATTCATGGACAGGAACTAAATCACGTTGAGACATGCAGTAGGGTACTTACTTCCTTTTTCAGTTTTCCTTCAATGTTTCTAAGCTGGTGGGGGCCACTTTTTAGGAGCCGGCACTTGCTTATCTCTGCATTATAACGGGGAGAAGTGGCTGGAGGCTCAGAGACACTGCATCCAGTTTGAATTTAGTAACATTGTTTGCTTTTCATTGTGTTGATTTTTGACGTTTACCTTGTGTTTATGGGGAGTGATACTGGTTTTCCATTTATGATAATACTACAAAGTTATCTTTTACAGTTTACTAGGGGCGCCTGGGTGGCTCTGTCTGGTTGGTAAGCCCAAGACTCTTGATTTGGGCTCAGGTCATGGTCTCATGGTTCGTGGGTTCGAGCCCCTGCGTCGGGCTCCACAGCTAGTGGTGCAGAGCCTGCTTGGGGTTCTCTCTGTTGCCCCCCTCGGTGCCCCTCCCCTGCTCACCGTGTCTCTGTCTCTCTCAAAACAAATGAACTTATATACGTTAAAAAAAAAAAAAAAAAAAAAAAAAAAAGAAAGAAAGAAATTCCCTTTAAAATTTATGTAAATAAAATCTAGAGCAGGAGATCTCAACCCCGGGTGCTGCTGGCATTTGGGGTCAGACCATTCTCTGCTGGGGGGCTGCCCCGTGCACTGTAGGACATTTAGCAGGATCCCCGACCCCCACCCCCACTGGACGCCCCTTTCCCCAGTTGTGACGACCAAAAATGTCTCGACATCATCAAGTACTCCTGGGGTGGGACCAAAATTGACCCTAGCTTAAGGTAAGCAAGTTTAGCCTGTACCATGACGGTAGGAGGTAGGGATGGTTGGATATTGTAGGAAATACCACGTGTGTATGAAAATCTCTTAGCCTGATTTCTGTCAGTTGCGAGGTCCGCTGACCGATGTTCCTGTGTGTGTCCTGGGTGCTGATACCGCATAAAGATGAGGCGGAAGGAGATGTCTAGAAAGGGATGCTCTAAGCAGCGCTGTCCAGTGTAACTTCCTGCCATGCCTGGAACGTTCTGAATCTGCACAGCTCAGTCCCTAGCTGTGGGCCACATGTGGCCATAGAGCACTCAGAATGTGGCTAGCGGGAATAGGGAACTGAATTCTTCGATTTTAATTAACTAATTTAAATTAAAGAAAATTTTTTTAAGTAGGCTCCATGCCCAACGTGGGACTTGAACTCAAGCCAGCCAGGTGGCCCTCTTCCATTTTAATTAAATTTACACATAAATGGCCACATGCGGGAGAAGCTACCGCATAGGACAGCACTGCTAGAGAAGTCAGAGCAGTGAGGTCAGGGTAATAGGATGCAGGCTGGAAGGTGTTGACTGTACCCTTTAAAAGCTTAGAATTGGATGGGGTGCCTGGGTGGCTCAGT